GCAACAAGAAGTCATTGTTTAGAGTTAATCTGGCAAGAAGTAGAGCCTTGCTCCTCTGACTGCTCTAGAGGGACGATGGCCTTGTGTTGGCAAGACCATAACACTGTGACTCTCTAGATTTGTCTCAGCTGTTGATTAAAGCAGTGTTTTTGCCTGTGGCCAGGCAGAGAGCAGAAGTACGAGGATGGCATTGCCCTGCTGAGGAATGCCCTGGCCAACCAGAGCGACTGCGTCCTGCACCGCATCCTGGGCGACTTCCTGGTGGCCGTCAACGAGTACCAGGAGGCCATGGACCAGTACAGCATTGCCCTGAGGTAAAGCACCCCGGCCTGCAGGGGCTGGGACAGCCCCCCAGCAGCTCCTCTGGGTAAACAGATGAGCTGCTGATTGATCAGGGTGAGAATCAGAGCTGGCTTTGTGTCATTCTCCATTAAAACAGCACAGCCACACAAATGCCACCCTGTTCGTGAATTGGTTGGTCTTAAGATTTCAAACTGAGAAGTGCAAAATATAGGGACTGTATTAATGCTAAATATGTCACCAGGCTTGTGATTCCTTGACTAACAAAAGGATTAAGGCATGGAATTATTTATAGTTATTAATTATTTTATAGTCAGACTTTAGGATCCATTCCTTTACACTAGAAGGTGCATATAAAAATGAGCTGTTCTATAAATTTAAATAGTATGATTCAACTTAACATAATCTAAATGCTATTTTAGGGTGTTACTTTTTAAAATATTCCCATATTTTGATTGCAACATCTTCAATTTGCCTTAAACCCAGCACTTTATGTCCCCTGCAAACTTGCATAGCTTAAATGGGTCAGCTGGTGTTTGCCTGCTTAGATTATATTTAGGCAGAGTCATTTAAATCTTTACTGCTTTCGTGTTACTTTATAATTAGTATTGCTGGGAGAGGTGACTAAGTTTTCTGGAAGAGTGGGATGTTTAGATAAATGCATTCTTGGGGATCAGAACTGTTTTATAAAGAGATTTAAGACTCAGTGTTACAGCAGCTCAAGGGGAAGTTGCATCATCATCTAAAATAAGCTTCCTGATGATGTTAAACAGGAAGTGCAGACAACAGGATGAGATTTTATTGTTACTCTTTACACTGAGGCCACAAAGAGAAAAAAGTTTCAAGACAATGCTTTATTTTTGTTCCTTTCTTCAGTTTGGATCCAAACGATCAGAAGTCACTGGAAGGATTGCAGAAAATGGAGAAAGAGGAGAGTCCAACAGATGCCACCCAGGAGGAGGACGTGGATGACATGGAGGGCAGTGGAGAAGAGGGGGACCTGGAGGGCAGTGACAGTGAAGCAGCTCAGTGGGCAGATCAGGAGCAGTGGTTTGGGATGCAGTAAAAGCCTCCTGCTGCTGCTTCTGGCACTGGAACAACCACTAGGGCCACTCTTCTCAGAAGAGCAGAAACTATGGGGTTTTTCAGTAATAAAGGACTTTTTTTTGTTTTAATAGACTCTGAAACCAATTAATAGTTCTGTGCATCTCAATACTGTGGAGATTCTTGATGCTTCTTATTTATTAAGTGTACAGGACTAACTGCATCCAAGGCTATTTACAACTTCCATTTTGAAAAATTCCTGCTAGAACTCAAACCATCAGAATCTGAGGTGTGTAATGAGCCTTTTGTTTGTGATGAAGACAATGAGTTCTGTCCAGGGCTGAGTGCTTGGGCAAGGTGTAAATGCAGTGGTTTGTAAGGCCTTGCCCATGTGTGTGCAGCCATTGGAGCCTGGGGGAGCCACTGGAGTGTGGCTGAAAGCAGCACTTTCCTTTTGCTGTGTTTGTTGAGTTCATTTGTCTTTTTCTAGGGCATTACCTGTGCTGTCCAGGATACATTTGGGACAGTAGGCAACCTGGACTTGTTGGACACTTTTTGTAGCTGATTTCTCTGTGTACAGAATTGAGCCAGTGGTGGAGAATTAAAGTTATTTCCTCAACCCTTACTAACCCTGCAATCACTTGAAGTCTGTACATGAGCATTTATTTTAAAATGCAGTTTAGTTTTATTTCAGTATGTTCCTGGAAGGTTTTGCAGCAGTGACTCAAAGCACTTTACATTCTGTGTACAGCACTGACATTTAAAATGCTATAAAAAGAATTAATCCCTCTTCCCTTGCACTGCTGGAGAAATGTTAAATTATGCAAATACACATATTGTCCTGCTTTTTCCATGTTTATATACTTCCTGGCTTTGTCAGGTAATTTTTGAATTCATGTCTTTTTCCCTCACCTTTTAAAACAAATTTGCTTCATGTACAAATTTCCAACCTGAGCATTTCAAGGGTGAACTGCTTTGGGTAATCTAGAAACTGTTTCAGTTCTGTGGGCTTGATGTGTGGGAAGAGGAATTACTTATTTTTCTTACAGTTCTGATTTCCTTAGTCTTTACCAAAATGTGGTTTTATAATCTTTGTATTGAGAGTTTAATTCCTTGTGTATTTATTTTGTTACCACAGGTATGCTGGAGCACCCAGACTTTTTAGACAGCTAAAAAAAATAGTTTTGAGTATCAGTTGGAGGAGAAATGGCTTTGTTACAAACACATGGCATGGAAAAGAAGCTTCTCCCTGAAAGGCAGATAAGGGTAAAAGATCCCTCTGTGATGTTGTATCAAAAATGCACAACAAAAGAGGCAGATTATTGTCTGGTTTGGAAATGTTCTGGTGTGTCATGGCCTACAGAGGAGGAGACCAATAGTTCATCCATTTAAGCAAAGAAAACAGCTGCTTGTGTGTTCTCCCTGGAATTCTGTGGGCTTGAGGGTTTCCAAAACACCCGAGTGAGTTCTGGTTCCCTGAAGGTGCTGGGGGAAGAGCAGCAAAGCAAAACTGTCCTGGCCTTGGGCTGGCCTGGGCTGCTCCTGCTCTGCAGTGAGCACATTCACCCAGTGAGAGCATCTCAGGGACAGCAAAGAGCAAATATCTCATTAATGACTTGTGGTCCTGTGCATCTCTGCTGTGGGATGCAGTGAATGGATTTCAGCTCATCACATGTCTCATAACAGAAAAAAACTTGCAAGATATTCAAAGCTTCTATTTTTATATCAAACCCCTTTGCTTTCTCCTCACACTCAGCATTCACCAGCTGAAAGCTGGGTAGCTGCATTCGCTTTCCAGTTGTATTCCAGATCTCTGCTGGGAATGAAAATGGAGTTATTTGTGTTACTAAACTAAAGGCAGGATACATTTCATTGATGAGGAGTGTATGAGGTATGTGCTGTATTTTTCAGCCATTTCATTCTAATGTTTCCTTTGAATAGGTCATTCATTTCAGGTGCAAACCACTGGCTTTGCACATTTCTCTGAAGTATTTAGAAGAGGAAACTGGAGAGCCACAGTTCTATTGAAACCATTCTGTAGTGTGTTTGTAGATAATCTGATCATCTTTGCTTTTGGAACAGGCAGGAAACTGAAACGACTTCAAGATGAGTGCTTGGGTGCAGCTTGAGCAAACAAGTCCAGGCACAGCTCAGAACACCCAGAGATGGCTGTCAGAAGGGATTTGTATCCTCACAGCTTTGGTTTTCTGAGAACTTGGGTCCTTGCTGGGAATGGGGAGTTGGGAGAGCGTGCAGGTGCAGCCTGGTGAGCCCCTGATGGGATTATGGGCTGAGTGTGATCCTTGCTAGGAGTTGCACTGTGGCTGTGGAGCTCTGAGGTGCTGCACATGCTGAGATTGTAAAGAAAGATGTATTTGGCCCTCACTTCAGAACTCTAGAGGGATTCTGCTTGCCTATTAATGAGCCTTCATTACTGCTTTAATTTTAGAATGTGATCTCTGGTTCTGCAGAGCTCTGGTACTCTCCAGTGCAGTTACAGGCATTTAGTTCAGGGAATATAACAATTAGCCCTTAATAAGCAGCTGACCTCATTCCCTGCCTCAGTCACATGCTCTGCTCCCGAGAAGAAAAGATCACAAAGGCAAGAACTGAAGTTCAGGCTGTGTTAGATCAGTGATGGAAATGGAACAGTTTGGACATGAGGCAAGAAAGGTGTTGCCATCCAGTTGTACTGTGAGGTGTTGGTGTGTCCGAGGTGCTGGGTAAGGGCAGAGTGCCCCTGTTTGCCTGAAATCCTGGAATTTAAACCACGTATTTCATTTCCAACTTTTAACTCTCCTACTTTAACAGGAAGTGATGGGAAAGGGACAGAATCTCTTCAGACTGTACATGGACTTGGCTAAGGGCTAAAAGGCAGAACTGACCCGAGTCTGAGGGCAGCACACATTCATGGTGTGCTTAGAAATTGCCTAAAAATGCATTTACTCCTCTCCTGTGCTGATACCTGCAATACTGGCAGTGTTTCCAGTTCTGAAGATTTCTGGATCATGGGAATTCAGGAATTGTGAAGCAGAAACAAAGGAGGGACTGAGGATTGCTGGCCAGTATCAGTGTTCTCTGTGGAACTGAGGTGCTGCTGCTGCTGCTGCTTACAGAGAGATTAACCAGGACTGCCCCCCTTTCAGTGACTGTCTCCCTCATTAAGCCTCTTTGTGTGGTGATTCTTCCCTTCTTGCTTTTCAGGAGCTCAGTGATGTGGAAACTGATCCAGGCAGGGCAGAAGCAGGCAGGATTTCTGATTCAGCAAACCTCATTCCCTCACTCAGATCTCAGTGGTAAGGAAATCTCAAAAGCTGCCATTCTTATTTTGAGTTACACAAACACACCACAACCAAATATATTTTAAAAACCCAAATCTGTCTTAAATTTAGTGACCTTAGGAGGGCTTAAACTCAGTATAAACCTGTGATTTCAAACTAAACAGTCTTAGTTGGTTAAAATGTCCTGTGGAAGCTGGCCAAGAGGAGGCGAGGATGTATATAAGACTAGGTGTTTGGGGAGGAAATTGATAATAAAACAGTTATTTTGGTGCAAAGAGGGAAAAAATAAAATGTTCACCTGGGAACTTCAGTGTAACAATTTATGTATTAAGGAAAGCCCTGGAACAACAAAATAGAAGGAATAATCTCTGTTTTCATTTACTGGTTTGAGGCTGGCCTTTGCTGTGCAAAGTCTGGGCTGTGGGAGTGGGTCCCCAGTGGATGTTTGCTCTGGACAAGCCTCTCCCTTTCCAAGAGCTTCCTGAGGGACCAAGGACTTGGTGAGTTTGGAGATCAGATTCCTTTTCCTCACCCATCATCCCATCAAAGCAGCAATGTGGCAAATGGGGTGGTGGTTTGGGGTATGAGGTAAAATCCTGGGGCCTGATACATTTTTGCCCAAAGTGTTCTCTGCACCTCCATGTGGGTAAACTGTTGGGATGAGAGCTTTTAGAAAACCTCTTCAGGTGCTCAGAGCTTCTCTCATTTCTCACCCACTCTGCTGGGGGTGGATGTGGGCTCTGATCACACTCAGCTTCACCTCGAGGTAAAAATAGGGAATTGCCTGCCCTCAGTATTTCGAGTTTCATGTAATATGTCCATAATGCCTCATGACTTGAGCTGTGGGGAGTGGTTTCTGTGCTCTGTGCTGTCAGTGGGCTCATCCATGTGCTGCTTTAGAGCCGGGGCTTTGCAGGGAGAAGGAGGAGGAGGAGGAGGGGGAAGATGAAGCTGTTTATTTCAGCATCTCTTACCACATATTGCACTGAGCACCTTGGCAACCCACTGAGCATCACGTTCTCCTCACATGGCTGAACTCCAGCTGGGGACTCATTCTGCTCAAACTTGCAGATCATCAGTTAAAGCAATGTTTGAGGTGTGAGTTGGCTCAGGAGCTGCTCACCAGCCCAGGAATGCAGCTCGGTGCTGAATAACGACTCCCATCGGGGCTGAGCTTTCCTTGTGAATAACTTCCCATCAGGGCTGAGCTTTCCTTGTGAATAACTTCCCATCAGGGCTGACTTCCCATCGGGGCTGAGCTTTCCTTTGGCCCCGGTGCTGGGGACAAGTTCCACACGCAGCAAAGGGGCAGGAGAGCAGCTGGGCTGGAGCAGGCTCTGAGAAACGTCCCTTTCCCAGGCAGGCTGAGGCTGTGGAAGGCCAGGGATGCTCGGGGGGCTCTTTCCCCTCCTGCCCCGAGCTCGCCCTGCACGGGAGGGGCGGTGCTGACACGGCCCCGCTCCAGATCCGGCTGCGGGAGATAAGGGAGGCTCTGAGAGAGCTCAGCCTGCCCGCACAGCACTGCCATAGTAGGAAGCAGCTGCCAGCAGCACCCTCCACCATCCTATAGAGCTGCTGCACCATGGAATTCGACCCCTGTATTTTTAAACCTCGCACTGCTGCGTTTGAAGGGTCTCAGAGCTGTCACCTCGTTTGGATAACGCTGTTTGCCAGCAGGGCGCCGCTATCAGGGGCTGGAGGCTGAGAGGCATTACATTTAATGTAAAACACATTCCCAAGTTGTCTCTTATTCCAAACAAAATCTGGTGTTTGGGCTTTGGAGCAGAGCATTGCAGGACACTTGGAAATTCCAGCTCTTACCCTGGCAGTGCTTTAGCCTTGCCCAGCAGCAGCCTGAGAGCATCCCTGCTCTGGGGAAGGGATGAGCCCAAACTGCCGAGCTCTCCCAGCTGGATGCTCCAAACACATTCGGCTCATCTGCTCATCTTCCTTTTGCCCACAGAAAGGAAAGAGACCAGGAGCTACTTTAGGCTGGGGCAATTTAGAAAATAGAAAAGGACAAAAAAAAAAAAAAATAAAGATGTAGTTGGGAAAGAATTGTTTATTTTACGTTTCTCAGAGGGATTTTACAAACAATGGAGCATTTTAAAAAAACTGAGTGATCAAAGTACTTGACAGTGTCCCTTAAACACACACACAAGCCCCTGGACAGAGGAAATCACACCAGCGAGGAGGTCAATACTGCCGAGGAGCAGCTGATCTGCATAGTTCTAGGAGGAAAGGTTGCAGTTCTAGGAGGAAAGATTGCAAAGGTGTTGGTGCTAAAAGTGGCATCCTGGCATTAAAATGAGAGCGCGCTGCAGAGCCCACACGGACCTGCAGGAAACAAAGTGCATCAAATAACACGCCGAGCACGTATTGTAGAATAAATTTATTTACCTGATACAAATGAAACTAGGTGTGATGCTCCTTTACTGTCAGCATGTCAATAGACAATTGATCTTATTTACAGCTTCTAAAGGTCACACATGCAGCTGTGGGAACTGGCTACGTCGTTGTTGCTTTTTAGATAAATGCATCACGATATTTTGTATTGCACCAACATCTGTCTTACTGCCTTAGATTTAAATAAGTTACATTACAGTGCAAAAGAGGTCGATTTGCACGGATGATAAAAAAATCCAACGTTATGAAGTGGAGGCTTACGGTTTAACATTCATCTGTAATCGTTTCCATGGATTTATAAATAGGAGAGCATTGTACAGAAGCTGTTGGAGTAGGATGTTTGGATGATACAATACAGAGAGAGATCCGTCTACACCCCAAGGCATGCATTATCTGATATTGTACATTGTATAAACTGACATTGTACATACAGGAATATGGAAATCGGCTGACAGCTCCGCAATTCTTGCTCAAGGATAACCAAACTCTTCTCCATGCAGCACAGAAACCCAACTTCTCTGGAGAGAGTTCCGGCTTGGTAAGCTATATTGCACGTTTGTACATCTGTATCATGAAGTCCTAATGGTACCACACATTTCTTCCACAGAGAACACAATGAGTTTTGTTTTTAAGGGAAAGCAAAGAATCTTTACACGATACATGCAGAAGTTTTGGTAGATGTGTTGCTAAAAACACATGCACGCAACAAAACAACCTTACATTTCTGCAAAATTGTTTAGG